CAGATGCAGGTCTGGACCAAACTCCACAGATCCCGAAGATCCACAAGGAGGCTATTTCCCCCACTGGCACTGAGTCACTCAGCATGTGTTCCCCGCATCCCTCTTTCCCCACACCCCACCCTACCTAGCTGCCATCAGCAGTCCTGGGACTTCTCCCTCTTAAAACAGGAATTACCACAGTAGGGGTGGGTATTACTTTTCCTCCCTAAACTCAGCAAGCCCAAAAGGAGAACAATATGCCACTCCTACATTCTCCCCTCCCCCAGCCTGTCCACTCTTCCCTGGCCTCCCCAAACGCATGGAGAGGCCTCTGTGGGAAGTGTGAGAAACTGCAGAGGAGGATTCCTCCCCCCATTCAGCCAGAAGAGGGAAATCTGTATGATATGGAACTCTCCACATAATTTTTTCCTGTCTTAAGTTGCTATCGTTTCACATAAGATGCTATAATGTGTGTCTTTTCAACACCTCATAATAAAAGGGGGATAGGACAGTTACCTGTTCCGTAACTGGCATTCTTCAAGATGTGTTGATCAGGTGTATTCCACTATAGGTGTGCGTGCTCGCCACATGCACTGGTGCTGCAAGTTTTTCCCTTAGCACTATCCGTAGTGGGGGAGCACCGCTGTGACCCCTGAAGTGGCGCCGATATATCGTGCCATAAAAGGGGCTGCGTGCTCCCCCCACCCTCAGTTCCTTCTTGCCAGACAACTCCGACAGAGGGGAAGGAGGGCGGGATGTGGAATACACCTGAGCAACACATCTCGAAGAACGCCAGTTACAGAACAGGTAACTGTCCTTTCTTCTTCGAGTGATTGCTCATGTGTATTCCACGATAAGTGACTCCAAGCTATACCTGATGGAGGCGGGTAGGAGTTTAAGTGTAAAGTTTTAAGGGTTACCCAGGTGGAGCACCGCCCTACCAAACCCGGCATCATCCCTCGTTTGGGAGATGATCGCATAGTGCGACGAGAAGGTGTGGACAGAGGACCACGTAGCAGCCCTGCAGATGTCCTGAATAGGGACATGAGCCACATAAGCCGCTAACGAGGCCTGGGCTCTCGTCGAATGAGCCTTTACTATAGGAGGTGGGGGAACCCCTGCCAGGTCATAACAGGTGCGAATGCATGAGGTAATCCAGCGGGAAATCCGCTGGGTGGAAACCGGTCGTCCCCTCATGCACTCAGTTGATGCGATAAAAAGCTGGGGGGACTTCCTAAATGGCCTGGTTCTGTCCAGGTAAAAAGCCAGCGCTCTGTGAACATCCAACATGTGCAGGCGGCGTTCCTCATTAGAGAAATGGGGCTTAGGACAGAGGACCGGGAGGAAAATATCCTGATCCATGTGGAAAGCCAAGACTACCTTAGGCAAAAAGGCGGGGTGAGGGCGGAGCTGAACCTTGTCCTTGTGGAAGACTGTATACAGTGGTTCAGAGGTCAGGGCCCTGAGCTCGGAGACCCGGCGGGCTGAGGTGATAGCCACTAAGAAAGCCACCTTCCATGACAAGTGGGACCACAAACACGTGGCCAAGGGTTTGAAGGGAGGCCCTGTGAGGCGGGAGAGGACTAGGTCTAGGTCTCAGAGCGGGACAGGGGGTCTGGCATAAGGGAATGCCCGATCTAACCCTTTTAGAAACCGGGACGTCTTGTGATGTGAAAACACCAACAGGCCCTGCACCGGGGGGTGGAAATCCAAAATGGCCACCAGGTGCACCCTGATAGAGGAGGGCGCCAGCCCTTGGGTCCTAAGGGACAGGAGGTAATCGAAGACAAGCTGGATAGATGCGGAAGAGGGAGCGGAACCTCTATCCCTCGCCCACCTAGAGAACCGATACCACTTGGCCAGGTAGGTTCGACGCGTGGAGGGTTTCCTACTTTCCAGCAGGACCCGTCTCACATCCTCAGAACACCTCCCTTCCTCCTCATTCAACCATGGAGCAGCCACGCTGTCAGGTGGAGCGGGGCTAGGCTGGGATGGAGGAGACGACCTTCCTCTTGAGAGAGGAGGTCCGGGCGGAGCGGTAACCTGCGAGGGGGGGCCACTAAGAGATGCAGTAGGGTCCCGTACTAATGTTGACGGGCCCAATCCGGGGTTATGAAGATAACCCGAGCCCCGTCTGACTTCACCTTCTGTAGGACCCTGCCTATCAGAGGGAAGGGCGGGAAGGTATAAAACAGGGCCCCCAACCATGGGAGCAGGAACGCATCCGATATTGCCCTTTCGCCCCTTCCCACTCTGGAGCAGAATCGGGGACACTGGTGATTCTGGGCGGTGGCGAACAAGTCTACCTGGGGAGTACCCCACTGTAGGAAGATCCACCTGGCCACCTCCCTGTGCAGGGACCACTCGTGCTGTTGGGAGAAAACCCTGCTCAGGCAGTCCGCGAGCATGTTGTTCTTGCCGGGCAGTAAAACAATAATTTTATCCTTTTTACTTTGGGGGAGGGAAGATATTTTTGCCATTTTCTATCTTTCTCCAGAAAGTCCTGGCTACAATCCCATGAAACTGGAGCCAGATGTTTGCCAGGAAGTGGGGGTTGGCTGTTCCAAAGGGAGTTAGATTAGATCATCACAAGGTCCCTTTTGGCCTTCATGTTTCTGGATGAAATTCTGGTCCTGTTGAAGTCAATGGCAAAACAACTACTGACTTCAAACAGGCCAGGATACTACTCTGTACATCTGGGTGTGATTAATCTGTGAACAGAAGTATTGCCAAGCTTAAAATGAACAAAGGTATTGTCAATATTAGGCCTCAAACTTCCGCTTTTCAAAGGTAAAAAGGGCACGCTTTGCAGAGGTAAAAAGGGCAAACTTTGCAGAAGTAAGCTATGAATTGTAGTCAAAACGCGCTGCAACCAGATAACACAGAATGCTAACTCCTATAAAGCGAGATAAGTTGTGCCCCGGGCACAGCTTGTCTAACCCACATTTAAAACAATTGGCTACAAGGAAATAAGCATAAATTATACGTCAAAGCGACAACGCTAACCACATTAAAGAATTGGCTGACCATATTGGTTGGTCTGTTTTAAGACATGGCCGACAGATCAGATAAAAAGTATGAAGGCATGGGACTGTGTGTGTGTTTCGGTCATAAAGGAAACTTGACACACATCCCATGAGCTGAAGGGGCGTGCACTTCTCGACCGTCTGTACCTGGCCAGAGCGGAAAACGGCTGACTGAAGGGTAACGTATTTTCAGATGAATGCAGGCTAAGTTTATGGAGTAAAGAAGTCTGGTTGCATGCAGTATAAGTTTATGGAGTAAAGAAGTCTGGTTGCTCGAGCTGAATTGATCTCAAGTCTGTATCGATACTATAGTGTTAAGAATAGTAGTAAGTAGCTGATGAATAATAACTTTACATGTACTTGTGCTTGTCTTCAGTATAACTTGCCATTTATATTAATCCTTATTCAGTGTTGGTCTTTATTCTTGCTTATCTTATTTTGTCTGTGTTGCCTTTATAGTCAAAAGTCATTAAAAACCTTTTTTGAGGAATAATCAGTACTTTTAATTTTTCTTATATGGGCACTACTCAACCTCATTACATCTGTGTTGGGTGGTGGGAAGTAGCAATCACCCAGGGTCCTGACGCGTGCCTCCTTCTTCCTTTATCTCCGCACTAGGTATGAGTGCAACTATAAAAATCTGTGGGCAATATCCTTTTCTCAAGTTTCACAAAAGCAACTTTATATTTCAGCACTTTGTAAAACACACATATTTGGCACCTTACCAAGCGTATTCTATGGATTTAAATACTTAGAAGCAAAGTTGCACTATATTTAAATATTAGATATCTCTATATGTTTATCCCATTCAATACACATTACATACCAAAAAAATCACCACTTTCCCATTCTATAGACATTTACACTGGTTGGCTTATGCAGACAGTATTGCAATGGCACATTCAAGAAGTTTTTCAAAGATCTGCTGGATCTGATAAATATTCAGTGTTTGAATGTGATCACACAATCCTAAGAGAATATAACAGTACTTTTATTAATCTGACTTTTTCACACACTTGTTTATAACTTGGATGCTATAAACCTATGATTACAGATGCATTTTACTCCACTGTACTTGCAGGATGGATGGTCCAAAGGTTAGGGCCCTTGCTTAGGAAATGGAAAACCTAGGTTCAATTCTCTGTTCTGCCTATGTGATTCTAGGTAAGTCGCTTAGCATCTCTAATGGGAATAACAGTGCTTCTCTACCTTACAGAGATGTTGTAAGGGAAAAATACATTAAAAGATTGTAAAGACCCTTTGAGATCTATTATGAAGAACCAGCCATTATTAGTTTCGTTATTATGATGTAGGACTTCTCCAGGAGTGTTGCCACTGAGGTTTTTTTCTTTAAACAAGTACAATAAAAAATTGGCTTGAAAAACACACAGTACAAAGGATTATTTGGACTTGCCAAACATATTTAGAAAAACAAAAGTACTTCAAATTCTGGATTTACCATCCCTGATTCTTCCTGGCCTTCACTGAAAAGATAAATATATGTATATACTAAGTAAAATAAGACCCTCGGTTGTTCAGGACAATCTTATTTTTACATTGGAACCATTAAGCAGAGCTACATTTATGTTAAATAGTTTAATCTTAGGTATTTTTAGTTTGAGATGTTTAATTTACTAATTAAAGAAAGAAATATTAGCCTAATGTATTTCAATTACTAGAAACATGCTGACTGCAGCAGAAGATATAGGTCTCATTCAGAAAAAGAAACTTATCTCAGTGAAACAGTATTCTTAGCTCAAGAACCAAGCATATCAGCAACTATTCAATCAATTAATTATCCTAAAATCAGGTACATACTGCTTGCAAATGGCATATATTGCTACTGTCTTATCTTTCAACTTTAAAATATTTAAGAACTATGCATTTTTTTTCAGATTACTGTTCAATTTATCCATGGTAATTATTCTAGTTTGATTAAAATATTCTGAAAAATTTACTGAAGATAGAAAAATAAAAATTAATATTGATACATACCCAGGTCACTTTCCATTATATGATCACTGTGAATTTGCTGAAACCCAGGAATGGGCCGTGTTGTGAGATACCATACTGCATGAAGAACATCTGTGGCATGTACACGATTGTGATCTAAAAATGAACAAAGTATTCAGGAACTACAAGTTCTTTCTATTGTTTTCGCTAAGTATTATGGGAGCAGCTCCCATATTTAGGTTGCTTAATAGTTTCCATTATAAAAGATGCTTGTGACTTTTTGGGGGGGGGGGGAGAGAAACTAACATCTCCATTGTTTGTAGCAGGCCTTTGAAATTTGGTAAGGACAAAGCTCTACAGAAATTCCTTTTGCTTCTTCCATTAACTTCCATTCAGACCTGGCTGAGTTATAAACTGTCAAATTGTCATTTCCCTTCTCTTGCTTGCATTCCCGAGGACAATTTTGGCAGCATGTCAAAATAATAATTGAACATTAATATTTTAAGGATCCAGGCCTACATAAAGGAAAATAAGAGGCCATGCTTCACATTTACAATTTTTATATTTTTTAAAACTACCATTTGAATTTAAAAAAACATTAATCCATGAACATCACAATATTAAATAAAATTCATCAGAACAATGATCTATATTTAAACAACTTTAAAGCTATGGACAAATATTACCAAAAGCAGGAAATATAAAAAGGATGAAAAATAGAAACAATGGAATTGTCATACCAACACTAGACTAATGGTCCACTTAGCCAAGTATTCTGTCTGATACACACAAATGCAAGAAACCCAAAATGGGAAATTATTAAATGGCTAACTCACAGGGAAAGTTTCTTTCTAATCTTCTTAGATAGAGTTGGTTTATGCCCTGAAGCTTGAGTGTTTATATCTCTTCCAAACTTTTTTCTAAGTCTATCAAATATAATAGTTAATGTTCTCACAATCCCTATCTCCTTGATTTGCATCCTTCTAAGTTCTTGGTCTAAATGTTGTTGTTATTATTGTTTTTACTATTATTATTATTATTACTACTATAGCACTTAAGAGACCTAGTCATGGACCAAGACTCCATTGTGTAATCTTGTGGCAATGAGTTCCACAGACTAATTGTGCTTATTATAAACTTTTACCCATTTCAAACTTGTTGCCTTTGTCCTTATTTTGTTTAGCACTTACCTAACTGCTTTTGTTTTGTATTTTATTTTCTGTAAAGGATCAAAGATGTTATAGAACATGTAATAAACTATTTTGAAACCAGTAAGAATTCCAGCGACTGATTTATTTTGACACTGTCAAAATAAAAATCTAGTCAGTTGTAAAAACAAACAAAAAAACAGAACAAAAACCAACCCTCTCCCCAAACCGGTTACCTACTTTCCTTAACTGTTCTTTGAGATGTATCACACATGTCCATTCCACTGTAGATGTGCGTACCTCGTGTACAATTGTTGGAGATTTTTCCCTCAGCAGTACCCACCACTCAGCATGATTGCCCTCTGATGTCTCATGCCACTGCACACAGGTATAAAGGGCCACGTTGGCCTCAACCCTCTTTAGTTCCTTCCTACCAGAAAGACTCCAATAGAGAGGGGAAAAAAGGCGGGTCATGGAATGGACATGTGCAGCACATCTTGAAGAAAAAACAGTTATGGAAAGGTAGGCAACTGTTTTTTCTTCAAGTGATTGCTCATGTCCATTCCATTGTAGGAGACTCACAGGCAGTTCGAGGTGGAGGTGGGTTTAGACTCTACTTGAATAGGGATTGTAGGACTACCTATCAAAATCAGGCATCATCTCTAGACAGATGAGCAATGGCATAGCAGGAGGTAAATGTGTGGATTGAAAACCAGGTTGCCACCTTACAAGTGTCCAGGATGGACACGCAAGCTAGAAAGGCCACAGAAACTGCATGTGATCTAATTGAGGGAGCCACCACTTTAGTTGGAGGTTCCATATCAGCCAAACAGTAGCATAAATGAATATAGCTGGAAATTCAGGAGGATATTGTCTGAGTGGCCCTTTACTCTGTCTGAAATCATGACAAATAGCAGTGAGGATGACCTGAAAGGCCTAGTCCAATCCAGATAAAAAAACCCAAAGATCTTCTAACATCTAGAGAATGGAGTCTCTCTTCCCACTTACTTGAATGAGGCTTTGGAAAGAAGGTTGGTAAGTAAATGTTTTGATTAATGTGAAAATCGGAAACTACCTTAGTCAGGAACTTTGTATGAGGTTGAAGGAAAACCTTGTCCTTGAAGAATGCTGTATAAGGAGGATCCAACACTAAGGCTCACAATTTTCTTACTCTCCTGGCTGAGGTAATAGTGACCAAGAATACCATTTTCATAGATAGGTGTAATAGGGAACAAGTTGCTAGTGGCTCAAAGGGGGGGAACCATCAACTCCGTTCGAACTAAATTCAAGTTCCATTGTGGAATCAGGCAGTTGATCTGTGGGTATGACCTGTCCAAACCCTTTAGAAATCTGATGGACTTAGGGGTTTGATCGGTTATAACACTGCATAGTGGAAAGCTAAGATAGCTGCCAGGTGGACTCTGATGGAACTACAGGCTAGTCCTTGTTTCAGGAACAGGAGAAAGTCCAGGATATGGGGAATTAAAACTTGGGCTGTGTGGACACTTATTTGCATAGACCAAATGGAGAATCTCTTCCATTTAGCAAGTTAAGTAGATCAAGTTGAAGGCTTCCTACTGTTTAGGAGAATTTCCTGCACTCCTTTAGTGCAATCTCATTCTGAAGATGTCAACCATGAAGCATTCACTCTGTCAGGTGGAGGGCCAGTAAGTTGGGATGGAGGAGGCGGCCCTTGTTCTGCGAGATCATGTCCGCATCTCTCAGAAGCGACAGAGAAGAGCTGACCAATAGAGCTGAAAACCAATTTGGATAAGGCCACGCTGGAGCTATTAGTATAATGTGAGCACAGTCTTGCTTGAGTTTGGACAAGACCTTGGCAAGAGCAGACCTGGAGGAAAGGCATACAGCATGCCTTTTTTAAACAGGTCAGAAGAAAAGCATCTGTCAGAGACCACAGGCCATGACCTGCCTGGGAACAAAATAGATTATTTTTTTCTCTTTTGTTACAAACAGGTCCACTTGGAGAGTTCCCTGCCACTGGAAAATGGCCTTAGACACATCTGGACAACGGGTCCACTTGTGGTCAGGTGGTCTGCCAGAGTGTTCTGGACCTCTGGAAGGTAAGCCACTTTCAGGTTGATGGATACAAACTGGCCAGCAACAAGTTTAGGCTTGAAATTAGACAAAAGTTTCTAATCATTAGAGGAGTAAAGTTCTCGAACAGCCTTCCAAGGAGAGCAATGGGGGCAAAAAAACCTAACTGGCTTTAAGACTGACCTTGATAAGTTTATGGAGCAGACGGTACGAGGAGACTGTCTACAATGGCATGTAGCCAATCTGCGATTGATAGCAGTGAATATCTGGTGATGGGATAGCAGCAAATGGCTGGGGATGGGACACCAGATGGAGAGGGCTCAGAGATACTACAGAGAATTCTTTCCCAGGTGTCTGGCTGGTGGGTCTTGCCCACATGCTCTGAGTCTAACTGACTGCCATATTTGGGGTTGGGAAGGAATTTTCCGCCAGGTCAAATTGGCAGAGACCCTGGGGGGTTTTCACCTTCCTCTGCAGCATGGGGCATGGTTCACTTGCAGGTTTAAACTAGTGTAAATGGTGGATTATCTTTACTCCTGAGGGAATTATGCACCAAAAAAGTTAAAAATTCTGCAAATTTTATTTGTCAATATACAAATGGGGAGGCTCCAGCATGGCAGTGGAGAGCAGAGGCCACTGTCTGCATCAAGGTGGGAGATCACCGTGCAGCCCACCCCCTATCCCTGGGACACAGAATCGGCTGTGAGGCTGCACCCAATCCTGACAGTGCAATCCTGAGCCTGCCTCAGAAACACCCCTGGGCCCTACCCCCCTGCACCAGGCTCACTGGGCATGGGCAGGCAGGCTCAGCCCAACAGGTTCCAAGTGTGGAGGGACTTAATGTGGGGGGATCCAGGTGTGGTGTGAGAGGGTTCTGTGTGGGACAATCTGGGTGTGGGTGGCTCAGTGGGGGGTGCAGGGAGGATCTGGATGCACAGGGGCTCGTTGGGTGGTTCCAGGTGCAGGACAATGGGATTCTAAAGGGGGGTGAAGGTTGCTGCAGCTCAGCGGAGAGGATCTGGATGTGGGGGGAGGGTGTGAGGGACTCAGCTAGGGGAACAGACTTGGTGGGGTGGGAGTCTGGATGGAGCTGGCCCGGGAGTCAGTAGGGTGGGGATCCGGATGTGAGGGGCTCACTGGGGTGGTCCAGGTGCAGGGGAGTGGGGCTCATCAGGGTGGGGTTTGAGTGTGGGGTGGCGGTCCAGGTGCAGTGGTGGAGGTCCAGGTGCAGGGTGGGGTGGGGCTTGGCAAGGGGGTCTAGTGAAGAGGGGCTCCACATGCAGAGGGTGGGACTCAGCGGCAGGCTCCAGGTGCAGGAGAGCTCTGGATGCAGGGGATGGGGGTTTGGATGCAGGGTACTCAGTCGGAGGGGTGTCTGGGTGTGGGGAGGGTGAGATTCAGTGGGGAGGTCTGGGTATGGGGGTGTCGAGATGTACGGGGATTGGATGAGCAGGGGAGCAGCAGCTCCCAGTATAGTGACCCCTTCCTCCACAGCTGAGTGATAGGAAGAGGGGGTGGAGCTTCCTGCAGTCGGGGGAGTTTTCTGGGAGTGGCTCGGCTGTTCCTTGCAGGGAAAGAGGGAGTCCTGTGCTCCCCTGACCATAGCCCAGTCGAGACTAGCAGCTGAACCCGGTGCAGGGTAAGAGCCAATGGCCAGGGTGTCCCCAGCCCTGCCCCCCGCCCTCATCCAGAAGTGATTTACCTCTCCATCAGATGCTCCAGGCACTTGAAACAATGCGCCCATGCTGCTGGGGAGGTGCGCATGACCCATCAGAAAGTCATTTTTCTGCAGGGAAGGAAAGAAATCTGCAGGGGACATGAATTCTATGCACACGCAGTGGCACACAATTCCCCCAGGAGTATTGTCATGATTTGAAGATTTCAGTAACTCAGCTAGAGCTTAATACAGGAGTGGGTGGCTGAGGTTCTGTGGCCTGCAATGACCTTTCTGAC